AAGTTAAGTTGAAATACCAAACTTAACTTGGCCAATTAATTTTCAACAAAGGGACAGCATAATTCAGTGAGGAAAGGAAAATCTTTTCAACAAATTATTCTGAAACATCTCATTGTCCATGTGGAAAAAGTGAGCCTCAATTCTTACCTCTCAGGATACACAAACATTAATTCAAGGTTGATCATAGACCTAAATGTAAAAGCTAAAACAATAAAGCTTCTGGGGAGGGGAAAGAAAAACAATGTATTTGTGACCTGAGGGCAGGCAGAGGGTTCATACATAAGACACAGAAGAGAAAACATGAAAGAAATTTTGATAAATTAGACTTCATCAAAATTAAAAACTTAGGCTCGTCAAAATAGATTGTTGAGAAAATGTGTAAGTCATAGACTAGAAGAAAATACCCACAAAGCAGAAATATGATACTGTCTTGTATCCAGAATAGATTTTTTTAAATGTCTGACCATACTAAAAACACAACCCTGTTTAAAAAATTTTTTTTCAAGATTTTATTTTAAGTAATCTCTACACCCAAGGCGGGGCTCAAACTTACAATCCTGAGATCAAGAGGGCTCAACTGACTGAGCCAGCCAGATATCCCCAACCCTATTTTTTTCAAATGGGCAAGAATTTGAATACATGGTCCCTCAAAAAAGATGCATCACTCGCCAGTGTTATGCTTTGGAGAGAAGAATGAGGATGCTGCAAGATTTGCAGGTGTGTTCTAGCTCTAGGCAGTTTTATTTTTTCTTCTTTTAACTCAACTACGGGCTTTCTCAAAAGGAAAACACCACCTACTCTTAATGCCACCACCCCACCCCATCCCCTTTTTTCTTTCAATGTGATAATCTCTGGTGGTCAATTTCTATTCACTTTTGCCTTCCTAACAGTAGAATCTCAAGTTACTTGACCCTTTGCTTCGATTGCCTGTCCCTAATTTAGTTTTCCACCTTATTCTCATCAATATGAAGCAACTCCATATTGACACACTGTTGCTATGATGCTATGACCAAATACTGTACACTTTGAGTTTAACACTCAGTTTGAGTAGCACTGGGATAGAAATGTGTGGCTATTACATAGCATTCTTTAGCATTTTTCAAATGTGAAAGTATTTGGTGAAACAAAGCTTAATGCTTTGCCAGGAAGTGCTTTGGTCAAGGTAGTAAACTATTGACAAAGCTTTACACTTAAAAAAATTTGGGGAGGGGGAAGCCTGGGTGGCTCAGTCAGTTGAGCATCCGACTTTGGCTCAGGTCATGATCTCGCAGTCTGTGAGTTCGAGCCCTGCGTCGGGCTCTGTGCTGACAGCTCAGAGCCTGGAGCCTGCTTCGGATTCTGTGTCATGCTCATGCTCTGTCCCTCTCTCTGTCAAAAATAAACAAACATTAAAAAAAAAATTTTTTTTAATTGGGGGAGGGGCGCCTTGGTGGCTCAGTTGGTTAAGCGTCCAACTTCTGCTCAGGTCATGATCTCATGGTTCCTGAGTTGGAGCCCTGCATCGGGCTCTGTGCTAACAGCATGGAGCCTGGAGCCCGCTTTGAGTTCTGTCTCTCCCTCTCTCCCTCTACCCCTCCCCCACCCATGTTCCGTCTCTGTCTCTGTGTCTCTCTCAAAAATGAATAAACATTTAAAAAAAATTCTGAGAATAAATTTTTATTGTAAATCTTTTACATTTTTAACTTTGTTTCTGATTATATATTAAAAAGCACATTGATATAGGAAATTTAGAAGAAACAGAAAAGTCCTTTTTTAAAGGGAGAAATCCGTAACAAAATTATGTATGTTAGGCTCCGGACCAACATCTTCAATGCCAGTTGATTTTTTTCCATAGGAAGTTTCACACACACCTATAGTTTGTTCCTAACTGAATAGCCCCCATCACAGTGGTGGAACACTATTCACATAGTCACCCAAGTCAGATAGCTGGAACTTGCCTTAGGTTCCTTTCCCTATCCCTCATGTCAAATTGACTACCAAATCTTTATTCTTAATTTATTCTCTAATGAGCAGATATTTATTGATTGCCTCCCTTCATGGAGTGGTGATGCTGAACCACTCATCTTCTTGCTTCTTGTCCTGTTTTTTTCCAAATGCTGCCACCATGTTGCTACTGGAATGATGTACTGAAATACTGAAATGATATACTGAAATATACATTTTGATCTTTCAGTGGATCCCCATAGTTCTCAGAGTAAAGTTCACATTCTTTGATCACAATAATCTTTACAATAGGACGTTTGCCAACATCATCTCATTCCATTTTCCACCCTGGCATCTTAAACCCCAAACAACTTGCATTTCCTCAAATTGTGTCTTGTTTTCATTTGTCTCCCTTTTGCCCTTGTAGAATGCTCTCATTTTTTTCTTTTATTTTAATAATAATGTCTGTTTGTCTTGTATTAGCTCAAATTTAAATGAAGGCCTTCCTGACCTCAGAGCTACATGCCTCTCTTCCAGTTTCACAGGCTTAAAATGAATATCTCAATCATAATATTTATCATACTTATCATACATTGTATATTGCTTCACTTGCCTGCCTATCCCATAAAAATATAAAGCCGTGAGGGCAGGTACTACCAAAGACACATATTGGTACTTGATAAATGCTTATTAAATAAGTTAGATGGTATTTCTTTGGAACTTGCCTCTCTTTATTATTTGAATTAACATTTATTTACATACCAAATAGAGGGAGTATTGGTATAGCTAATCAGAATTACCTTTTCACTTGGTTAACATGAATGAAAGTTCTAAAGTGAAAGTTCTAGGAGCAATGTAAAGATTTATTTAAGATATGGATAAATTGGAAAACTAGGATAAGGATGACTGTCATCAGTGAACAGAATGGAAAGATGAAATTATTTGGGGTTAATGAGGAAATGGTCATCACTGATTTTAGATGTCACTAAAAGCATGGTGAAGGGGAGGAAACATTCTAAACGTCTAGAAATACCACAATGTAAATAATTTAATCATGTGATGGAGTCATCTTGATAATGTTTAAAGAAATTCCCATGTTGTATCTAAATCTCTATAGAGCAATATTAATGTTTTGAAGGTAAGGACCAAGTCTCCTATTTCTCCGGTATCCCTCTATGATACTTATTTTATAAGATGTTTAACAAATGATTGATTTCCACCTTCATTGATTATAATAAAATAATTAAAATGTGTTAGCTATATAAGAAAAACTACAAATCTTTAAGCATTACTTAAAATAATTTTAATGTAGTGGGGCACCTGGGTGGCTTAGTCAGTTTAGTGTCTGACTTCAGCTCAGGTCATGATCTCATGGTTCATGAGTTTGAGCCCCACGCCAGGCTCTCTGCTGTCAGTGGAGAGCCCACTTCACATCCTCTGTCTCCCTCTCTCTCTGCTTCCCATCTGCTTGCACTCTCTCTCTCTAAAATAAATAAACATTAAAAAAAATTTTTTTTTAACTAGTAGTTGCACATCTAGGAATACAATTGCACAACATAATTAAAATTAACTTTTTAAATTTTTTAAAAAATGTTTTTATTTATTTTTGAGAGAGAGAGAGAGAGAGAGAGAGAGAGAGAGACAGAGTACTTCCGAGGGAGGGGCAGAGAGAGAGGGAGACACAGAATCTGAAGCGGGGCTCGAACCCACGAATTGTGAGATCATGACCTGAGCCGAAGTCGGACGCTTAACCGACTGAGCCACTCAAGCACCCCTTGTTTAAATATCAAGTAATTTTATTCATGCAAAATGTATTTCTCATTAAGACAAAAAAATTGAATAAGTTTATCAAATTTTTATGTATATTTAGCTCAAAGATCTATTATCTTTCTGATCACCTCATATTCTAGTATTCATTTACTAAGTCTGTTTCAGTATTAATTTGTATTTTTATAGGATGTAAATTCCAAGAGGGCAATACCATGTATTTTTTTCATCCTTGTGTCCTAAGGATAGTACTTGGCACAGAGTAATAAATATTAATTCAACAACAAATGAATGGACGAAGGCAACCTTTTTAAACTGTGTATTCTGATTTAGTTCAAATAAAATTTAGAGTGTGTACTTAGATTTACAGTGCTAAAGAATACCATTTTTAAATGCTGAATTTATAACTATTTTCTATTTCTAATAATTTTTTTTCTTTACCACTGAATAATCTGGATCTGTTTTGTTTGTCCTAATACCTAAGGTATTCCCAGGTTGTAACTTTGGAAACAGCAAGAGTTAAATAGAATACCCTATTGGCTCTTATTCTTTTTTCAAGTTAATTTTCACCCAGTGAGTGATAATTGCACATATTCAGAGTTGTCCAAAATATATATGAATCATGTTAAAAGATTCTATTTATGTACCAAATGAATTCTATCTTATTTTAGTATTTTTCTATCTAACCTTGTCTTTTGTTCTGTTTCTTATTGGCTAAATTATAAGATTTCCTAAAGCCAACACTCGGGAGTTCCTTTAAAAGAACAGTTAGAAAAACAAGAGTAGGAAACAGTAGCTGTTTCTACTTTTCTTATTTTGTGCTGATTTTTAAAATTGTGGAACATGAACAAGTGCTTATTATGTTCATGATTCATGTAGATACACTTCTTAAAACCTTTAGTACATTTAGAATATTATGAAAAATAGTACATATTATCTGTAGTATCAGAGGACATTTTTTATTGTTTCTAACATATGCGTTTAAAGTACTGTTTTACAAATACAAAATGTGGTTGCTAAAAGCCAGTGTCAACCTCTTGGGTTATTATCTTTGTTTTGTGTTTATTAACATGGTTGTTATATTAATGATATAAATTTAACAAAATGTTTTCTATTTTAAAATATGAGTAGAGCATTAACTTTCAGTTAAATACATCTGTTATAGTCCATCACAATAACATCCTCTAAATGTACTCTCGTGATTAACCGAACATCCCCTCTCTTTGTCTTTTTGAGTAACAGCATGCTTCTATGGCTCTTTAATTAAATGACCTTACCTTACATTTGTCTCGACTGGCTTCTGTTTACAGAAATTGTAAACCAATTGAATGCTCTGAGCAGCTTAGATGAAGATCAAGATGACTGCATAAAGCAAGCAAATATGCCTTCAGCTAAATCAGCCAGTTCCTCTGAAGGTCTAAGAGCTTTCTTCCTTTCTTTCTGCTTCTGATTGCCTGTATTTACTGTGACCTGCTACCTCTTGACTTCTGTCTGTACTTATTAGCTGTCAGTTTTGTCTTTGTGCTTTTCCTTGAATGTTTTCTTGGTAATTTGTAGCGTACCAACAGGCAACAGAATAACTTACCATCTTTAGCAAAGCCTTATATCAGTATCATCATATTATGTGACCATATATCTTCACTTAGCTTATATATCATAAGTATACTGTTTTAAAATATTTGCTTATATTAAACCCATTTAAATGATTCATATTTAGGAGTGAAGGATATGTTTCTAAGAATCTATCTCAGTACTTTTTTGTTGGATCAAATTAGAGTCCAATGAAAGTTTCTCTTGTTCATTATCCGACATAATTTTCTTTTTTTTCTGACATAATTTTCAAATAAATATGCATATATTTGTTTTGTTTTATTTGAATATGTTGGTATGCTACAAAATACTTGAATGGCATTCTGCCATAGGTAAAATGCTACATTCTTATTATTTGCAGGTATTATTAATGTGAATTATAATTTGAAATATTTTTGAACGATTGATAAAATTGTACTTAGCTATAATCATAGTGAACTAATACATATGTTTATTTTCAGAGCTTATCAACAAACTTAACTTTTTGGATGAAGCAGAAAAGGACTTGGCCACTGTGAATTTAAATCCATTTGGTGATCCTGATGTAGCAGAATTAAACCCATTTGGAGATCCTGACTCAGAAGGTAGCAAATTTTTTTCTGTACTTTTTAAAGTCTTTATAAAGTGAAGTTATTTTGAATAGTAATGTGGGAAGAGTTTCTTTTTTTCAAAGACTCAAAGTAATTTTGTTTATGATGATATTATTGTGTTCAATGCCACCTGCAGTTGATCAACAAATCTGAGTAGCTTCCATTGAATTATTTTTAAAGAAAAAAAGATACCTTCACATAAACATTTACATGGGGCTTTTTTTTTTTTTAATTCCAGTATAATTAACATGCAGTGTTAGGTTAGTTTCAGGTGTTCCATAACAGTGATCCAACAATTCTATGCATTACTCTGTGCTCATCACGATAAGCGCAATCCGAATCCCCCTTCACCTATTTCACCCTTCCTCTCCATCCACCTTCTACATGAGGCTTATTTTTAAATTCTCTATTACTTTGGTCAAGTTAGATAGTAAAGCTCTAATGTTAGAGATAACAGTATTTTACCTACCCGGCATATAGTAAAGTCTCATCAGAGTAGCCTACCAAAGTAAGGGCAAGTTGTGAGACATGCTGACCCTGGGGTTGTGGGGATGGCTTCTCTGTCAGCTCCTCTGACCTCACCCTCAGAGAGTCCAGTGAACCCCTCCACCCCACACTCCATGTCTCAGGCTGAGAATTATAGTCAGTAGTGAGAGTAGGTTGTGTATGTAAATGGCATGGAGCAAAAAGAAGCCTGCACACCACCGCTATCATGTATACAACATACTTGCAAGGAATAAATCCAGGGAGTTTTTTTTTTCCTAAGTCATTTTTCTTATCATGTAGTTTTGAACTCTTAAAGCCTAGATAAGAGCTGTGGAAGGAGTGAGACCTCTGTTTAATTAAACTGTTTTTCCAAAGTAAATGCAAGAATGATTAACCAGTGTGTACATCTTTTAGACGGCTCTTATGAAATCCTCATGAGCTTTGAAGACTTTTGTTACTACCTCTCATGGTGAAAATGCAGTTTTAACTTCAGGATTCACTCTTGTTGGAGCAATCTCACTTTATAATCCGTTTCGTCTTCTCTTCTGTACTTTCTCCCTTCTTACCAGATTCTAAACTAGTAAATTTAAAATAATGAGATTTTGTTTGTAAGCTATATATATTAAGGATATATTTTAAATCTCAATGGCTATCATAAATCTTAGAAGTAATCTACTTCGGCTGCCTCTTTTCATAGATTAGGAAACTGAGGCCCAGAGGAATTCACTGATTTGAATAAGAACTTTAGGTAAATGGAAGTGGAGGTGGAGCTAAGATACCTAATCAAGTGTCTTCTTTTGACCCCACAGCTTCTCCTCAGTTGTGTGCTACATATATCTGAGTTTTAAAATATTACCACAGCATTTTGAGACACCAGTATTTGAACTTTCCACTTCAAAATCAAATAAAAACAATTTAAAAAAAATACATGTAGGTCTGATTTCTGAGGTATTGAAAGGAGTAGCAGATAACACATAATTTTTGTTTAGGAGCGGTTAGCCAACCTGACTCAGAATATTTAATCATGCCTATAGAGCTAAAAAAAAAAAAAAGAAAAGAAAAAAAGAAAATGTGACAACCAGTATTTTCTTTAAATATACATCTCTCAGAGACTTTGGACTAAGTATTTTCTAATAGAAGAATACTTGTTTTTCTAGAAGTAATTTTTAAATTTTTATTGATCAAAAATTCGCATCCTCAGGTAACAAAAGCCTTTGAGGAAAAAATAATGTGTTGCTGTTGTTTAGATGGTTCTTTTATTTGCCTTTACAGCTTCAATTCTCGTCTTAGATTCATGACGTTCTGTGCTTCAGTGACCCTTTTAGAAAGTTATTAAATGTATTTTGTTAGCTTTTATATAAAATAATCTTATTTTAAACCCTCCTTTGTTGCCATTTCTGCCATCTTCAAATCGTGCTCTGTGGTTTAAATACTTCCTTGTTTTTGGTTTTGTAAATGATGAATTTGCTTGGATCAGTTTTTGCAGTCCTCTTCCTGAAAGTAAAAATAAAAATCTTATTTCCATTGACCAGTTTTGCCTGTTTCTCCAGCATTTGAGACTTGATATTTGTTAATAAAAAATTGAATAGGCAAAATCTTCCAGTCTCTCTGCCCCTACAGAGAAAAGAAAATGCCTCATTTACATTATTTTATAAAAATTCTAATGCAGTGTTAAGTTTGAGTATTATCCTGGTGTTACAAAAGTTACCGTTGCTGAGTCTTCTCTAGCGTAGTCTAGATTTAAATTTAAATTTAAAATTTAAATTTTATTTAAATTCATTTCAGTATTTATTATGATTTTATGAAATCTCTTTCACACTTTGTAATTGCTTCTTCATGGTGTATAGAATTTCAATTCAGAATTTTTTTTCCCAATATAAAGACAAAATAAGTTTTCTGGGCTAATGTCTAAAGTATATAAGTAAAAGGAGTTTAACGTTAAAATGTAAAAGTCGTAAATATGTCAGTCATGAAATTTTTATAATAATTGGATTAAATTGTTTGAAGTGTCACATGAAATTCACAGTTATTTTTCTTGAGAATTTCAGTAACCAGTTTTCTGCCTTCTAGAGTATTTTGTCAGGGTTGCACAACATAATTAAAACCAACTTTTAAACTACATTATGATTGGTGGCTCTCTGAAACTTTTCTTCATTTTGGGAAAACATTTATTTTTGTGAGCAGAATCCATGACCAAATTTTGGACAGTTTTATTACAAGTTCTAGTTTTGTTTTAAAATATTAAGACATAGAAAAGAAGAAAAAGGATTATACTAAGCACGTCATAAGTATCATTGAAGGACATGAGTGCTTTTTGTGAGTCAGAATTCTGTGAGTCAGAATTTTATTTTTAAGGGTACCTTGGTTTTCAAAATGAAATTTAAAATAATAAAATATAGGGGCACCTGGGTGGCTCAGTTGGTTGAGCGTCCAACTCTTAATTTCAGCTCAGGTCATGATCTCATGGTTCATCAGAGCCCCGTGTGGGGCTCTGTGCTGACAGCGCAGAGCCTGCTTGGGATTCTCTCTCTGCCCCTACTGCACTTGTGTTCACATGCAAGAAGAATTTAGAAGAATTTGGTGTAACATGACTATCAGTTTATCAGTATGATTTCAACGTAGTGCTTTCAACCTCCGAATTTTATGTTAGTCCTTTACATTATTAAACAGAGTATTGATTGGATCCAAGTCATATTGAAAAAAATCAAACATCTCATTAAAAGCTGTAAAAATTTAAGATTGTGCAGCATACAAAAACGTACTCTTAGAAGGCTTTGAAGAAACAAATTCAATGGGGGCGCCTGGGTGGCGCAGTCGGTTAAGCGTCCGACTTCAGCCAGGTCACGATCTCGCGGTCCGTGAGTTCGAGCCCCGCGTCAGGCTCTGGGCTGATGGCTCAGAGCCTGGAGCCTGTTTCTGATTCTGTGTCTCCCTCTCTCTCTGCCCCTCCCCCGTTCATGCTCTGTCTCTCTCTGTCCCAAAAAAATAAATAAAAATAAACGTTAAAAAAAAAAAAATTAAAAAAAAAAAAATTCAATGATGTGTGGGTATATTTTTGATATAGTCCAGAATGAATTTTCACTTCCCTAAGTGGTCTCTGCTTGTGTAACTACCAAAGACAATTTCACATTTTAACTCACTTAATGTTCTTAAAAACAGAAATTTATTTTATATCAGTTTAGGATGGCAAGCTAGTATAGTCAAGTAAAATAAACAGTAAATAGAATATTATACCTCTAAGAAGGTTAAAATTTCAAAAATTGCCGTACTGTAATACTAATAATATTAGAGACTCAAAGTGCATTCCAAAGATGCCATATTAGGGAGCAGCATTCCTGGAGGAGTAGACAAAGATCTTAGGTAACCCATCTTCTGAACTTAGCCCCTCTAAAACATATTATTGTTTTGACCTTTTCAGCCTCATAAGAGATTAATTCAAGATTATTTTTGAAAACACCAAAAATATAAGAAAATATCAGGTAATATTAATTTGATTTAAATCATCTTTTGCTATTGTTTTATAGAACCAGTCACTGAAACAGCATCACCTAAAAAAACAGAAGAACCTTTTTATAATAATAGCTATAATCCCTTTAAAGAGGTACAGACTCCTCAGTATTTGAACCCATTTGATGAGCCAGAAACTTTTGTAACTATAAAGGATTCTCCTCCCCAGTCTACAAAAAGAAAAAATGTAAGACCTGTGGACATGAGCAAGTACCTCTATGCTGATAGTTCTAAAACAGAAGAAGAAGAGTTGGATGAGTAAGTACATTTTATTCTGCTATCATCATACATCAGTCTCTATATTAACTAAAGAGATGCTTCTATAATAAACCTTTACATGGGTAAAAAGAGTTTTTTCCTCGCGTTAATATACAATTTACAGGTTAGTATCTATCACATGTCCACCTGAATTTTTATGATCTTGACCTTTATTCTCCCACCCTCTTCCATGTGAATGTGTGTGCACAGTAAACTAACAATGGAGAGAAATATGTTCTTGGAATCTCTGGTTAGAATTTTAATTGTCTTTCCACAGGAACCCCATTACAAATGTCACTTAGGTGTTTTTAATCAATTACTGTAGGCATTATACTTCAATTAGGTTCTGTTGTGGGAACCAAATAATCATTTATGATAATTATTTGGTGAGGACACTTGTTCAGATTCCAAACAACAAGATCATAATTATAAAGTATGAATTATCTTTGAGTTATTCTTATCCAAATATGAATGTTATTGATTATAAGCTCATTATAAATGGAATGTTTAGGGCTGCCATTTTACTCAAATCTAGGGTGAGAATGGGGGAAGGGTATGTGCACATTGTATTCTGGAGGTATATAGTTTACAACCTGTGTGGCTGCAGATTGTGGCCCTGAGTATGTTAAAAAGCAACAGTAAAACTTCTACTTCTAGCCATGATGGATTAACACAGACTGGATATAGCTTCTTGTCTTAAACAACTAAAAAACTGAATAAAATATATGAAACAATGGTTTTCAGACATTGGATACAAATAACACAGAACAGTGTGATTTCTAAGAGAACAGAAACAAAGAAGATGAGCCCTATACTTGTCTTTGTTTTATTTATGGGAGAGAATTTCCAGCTCTAGTTTAGGGAGAGAGAAACCAAAAGTCCTAGTAATCTCCATGAGTTGAGGAGACAGTTTGGACTTGGGTGTACTGAGGAGAATAGAATTGTGGACAGAGTTATCAGAGAAGAGAGAACTACTCATACAAAGAGTTCCAGAGATCTGTAGAAGATTCCCCCTGAGTCTTTAGCTGAGCACTGATGAGAGCATACATAGAGGAAACATGACAGAAGCATCCCTGGAGTTCACCCAGGACCAAGAATAGTTTGTTTCCAAGCAGTTCCTAACACGTGGGACATCAGGTCGAGTCCTCAGAAAGGTGTCTTACTAATGTAGTGAGATTAGCCTAGACAAAAGGCTGTTCTGGGCTTGCCTAACAAAGCTTAAAAGCAAGGCTCAAAACAATCAAAATGATTCCAAGTAACTTAATTGCATGCCACACAAATATACCAAAGATACCAAAGGGAATACCAAAAAATCCAGCACCCAAAATATAAAATTCACTATGTCTGACAACCAATGAAAAATCTATCAGGCATGTACAGAAGCAGGAAAATCTGACCCATAATGAGGAGGAAACTCAAGTCATTAGATATGGATGTAGCAATGGCACAGATGATGAAATTAATAGAATAGTAATTATATGTTTACTTGTAGTGAGGCTGTATGTGTCTTTGTTTTCCTTAGAAATATGTGAATTTTAGTGTATTAAGATTATTTAGATCTTGGGGAAAATAGTTATTTCTTTAAAAATACAGGTAAGTATGAAAATCTTTCAGAATAATGGGGATATAGATTGTGAGGGAAATAATAAAAAGGCTCCTTCAATGTATGAAAGTTGGGAGCAGTTGCTTCGTGTGAAGGAAGAAATGTCATTTTTCCCTGTGCATTGGTCAGCTCCTATTTTGAGCAGTATTTTACTTCTAGGTTCTGCCAACTGTACAAGGGACATTGGTAATTCAGAGCATTAAAAGAATAGAGCAACAGAGTCATCAAAAAAGTCCAGAAACCACATCAAATGAGCAGTGATTAAGGTCATACAAACTATTTGACTTAGAAGAAAGATTATTTAAGAGAATTATAATAACCAAATTCAAATATTTGAAAGACTTGTTTGAAAGAATGAGGTAGTTGACCTGTTTTCTATTGCTCTAGAACTGTATTTCTCAACTTTTTCCCATTTTACATCACATGGCCTATGACTCTCACATGTGCTACATGCTACCATGGGCCTGGTTAGATTTTGATAAAACCTAAAATGTTCCAGTTTGCCTTAAATACATAGAAATATATCATAGTAATCATCTGATTCCAAACCAAGGTTTAGCTCTCAATACTAATTAATAACTGTACAGGGGTTGGAAAAATTGGCTCAACTCTAGCTAAAGTTATTATATTTGCTTTCTTTGAAGTAGCTAATGTGTGATGAAAATAAAATTTCTCATGGGTGGTGTAGGTGCTGAGTAATAGCCACACACCTACAGTATTTGAATGTAAATATAAACTTTAAGTACAAGCATTCAGTCATTCCAAGAGGCATGAGTATTACACAACACACACACACACACACACACACACACACACACACACACACACACACCCTGCTCTTTCCTATTAACAAGTTAAAGAGACATTTAATGCTTGTTTAAATGTTTAAAATGCCTTAATGAAAACTAAAATCAGAATCATTGGGTGTTTCCTTTTGACCATTTTTTTTTCCACATGAAAGTCACAGTCTTTACAAGTTTCCCATGAATAAAGAACATTCTAAATTGCTCAATCATCTGAGATTACCAGAGGGTGCCTATAAACACTTCAGCTTTTTTTTTTTTTAATAGGAATATATACACAGATTCTAAAGATTGCTCATCAGCTAATGTGAGAGTCCAGGAAGAACTCTGTTCTTTTTTCTTATCTTTTTTCTCTAAAAGTTTGTAAGTCTAACCACATTAGAAATCTTCCAAAATTTGTTCTTACTTCAGTAATAAACTTATGACCTTTCATCAAGTGAAAAGCCTGTATTACTCATCTTCCATTATCAAACTCTTCCTGCATCCTCTGACATAAACCTATCACAAATAGTGCTGAGTTCTTTGATGTGTAAAACAACCTTCAGAACCTCAGCATATCCATCAGCACCAAGAGCAAGTAAACACCCTTCAGTGCTAGTAGCACATGTCTTTTCCACTTAGCAATCACATGGGCTTCTCAGTTTTCTCTTGTTTGGAAGTCAGTTCAGCCATTCTAGTTATTGTAGCAAAATTGAAAACCAAAAATCAAACAATATTTTTTTCCAAAACATTTATGAAATGTTTTGGGGTCTAGCATAAAATCATTTCTGGTATGGTTGTATGTCTGGTTCTGAAGGAAAGTTGTCATTAAATTTTATTCAGAGATAAATGTGGATTGTTTTTCCAAAGAAACATAAATTTTCAAAGTGAAAGGAAGACTATATATTTCACTGTACTCTTGTTTCATATTTTATTCTTTATTAGTATGTTTATTAATCATGTTTCTAATCAATTTATAGTTTTTCTTTCTGTAATTATTTTTAACTAATTTATTGCTCGAGTATATAATACAAGCATAAAAATAATTTTTCTTTATCCAAAGTGATGTAGAAAGCACTGAAATAGGAATTATGCTAATTCCTTAAATAGTATTTCTTTACAAAAAATATTAAATATTTTTTAAAATGCATTGATCAATAATTCTATATAACTCTTGTTTTTATAGAGAAGGAAGCAGTGTTGACAATCATATATATAATAGATATTATTCCTAATCACTTTTTTAAATAGTACTTTTTAATTGAGATATACTTCACATAACATAAAATTCCTTATTTAAAGTGTACACGTCAGTGGTTCTTAACTAATTCACTGTGCTGTGCAGCCATAACCACAATCTAATTCTACAACATTTCATCATCCCCAAAAGAAATACTTTACCTATTAATAGTTAGTTTCAATTCCTCCCTTCCCCCACCTCCTGAAAACCATTAATCTACTTTTTGTCTATATGGATTTGACTGTTCTGGACACTTCATATAAATATAATCGTATCCTGTTCTTAAAGAGTAGGAAATTCAGTTTTACTTAGAAATGTCTGATCCATAGGAAGGATCATTCAGAACCCTTAGAAGTAGAAGCTTCTTGTCTTACTTTGATTTATACCTAATGGGTACTAAATTAGGTACCCATTAGGTGCCTAGCACACTGTTTTCTCACAGGCAAATAATAGATGTGCAGAGATACTTATTCCCTTAGTCCGTCTTGCAGTGAGGTGTGGTCCAGGGCAGCTGGAGACCCTGGTACTTCTGTTTTCCAGCAGCTTCCTATATTTTTACCCTAGAATGACATACAAATTTCATTTTTACTGCATGTGCCATGTAAAACAGAGTGAGAAATGTAGCTCTAATTGTTTCAAGAAAATTTCCGTTTGATTAGTTTCTAGTTAGTGATGAATCTTACCATCCAGCTTTGGAAATCAGATGATTATGAGCTTTTTTTCTACTTGCATTTACCTTCTTTTGACAAAGGATACTAATATTCAAGTGGGAGGGAGACCTAAGTGGTTTGAAACAGGCAGAGACAGGAAGAAAAAGGACAATATCTAGTTATATTTGTATACATACTAGATAAGTTTTATAAAAGTTTCATGAGTACTGTAAATTAAGTTATATAAAGTGTACTGAGGAGCTACCTGTTTTAAGGGATTCTGTCATTTTTTTCTTTTAAGCACAAATTCTTTTTTAATAAAAATATCCTCTAACACATGTTTTTCTTGAAAGTAGCCATATTTACATAACAAATTAATAATAATGATCATTGTAGTAGCTGCCATATTTCAAAGTACTATGCAAGCTTATTATAGAGAAACCTAACCAAGAAAAAATTTTTAAATATCATCCAAGTAATTCATATAACTGAATTAATTCAGTTTGATTGACATGGGTCTGTTCAGTCCTGAACACTTAACATTAATTGGCAGGTAGTAAGTTTGGGTAGAAAAAGTTGTTTCCCTTTTTTAAGTTTTGGGGTTAAAAAAATTATGTTTTCAACTTATTTCTTTATATTTATCTCCCTTCAAACTACTTTTAGAGTTTGAAAACAGCTGTATGAAGCTCTCAGAATTATCAGGAGAAATAAGATTGTTGTAAGTGTGAAACACTTAAAATAGTACCTAGCACAGCATAAACACTTTATTAATCTTAGTTAATAATGTTATTGATAAGCCCTCCATTCTAGGCTGGATATGATACCTTTTATACCTCTTTTCAGAGAGAATGTTCAGCTTTTTCTGAACACCTAGTTATTTTAACATTGTTCCTTGCTTTGATTTCCCCCAAGTTCTTCTGCAGGTTGTAAGCATGGGATGTAAATATATCAAGCATATCTTGGTCACTAGGCAAGAATATTTTGTTTTGAAAAGCAAATTTTCAATTATATATATCTATTTCCTGTTCTTTTTCTCTTGAATGCACAGACATAAGAAGAGGAGAGAACACAAGAAATAGGTTTCTATGTAAATGCCAACCCCACTCAGTTAAAAGTAACTACCCTGACCAGAGTTGAGAGACATTCTGTGGCTGTACCCTAGCTCAATAGAAAGGAATCTCATGACACTAATTGTTGCCATGAGTACAGAGTAAGAATGACATCACAAGTATATGTTTCCCATCTCTGATCCATATATACTTTGTACCCAGTCTCATGTGATTTGACTATCTATATATAAATTCTTAAGCAGAGGTGTACATAATTGGTAATTGGTTCTGAGTGAGTCTTATACTGTTGTAGTTAAAAGAGCATGCATAATTGAAACAGAGGACTGTTACCAGTACAGGCCTTATATATGACTAGGTTGAATGATTTTGGTATAATCACTAAATTTGGGTCAGCTGAACCTTAGCCTTATAGACTCAGAAATTTTATTCTTTACACACAGGGTTCCAGAGAACCAGCTGGTGTGGGGGGCGGGGGGGGGGGGGGGGTGGGAGTGGAGAATGCAACAAACTAATAAATAAGAACCAGGATAACAGTTTATTATTGTGTAATAGGAAGAATAATCATCATCTATGCCAGATACTTGTGTTTATGGGTAACTAATGAGAAAAAAAACTCATCTACTTGTAGAGGGAGTTAACCAGGAAGATTTTTTGCTTGGGCCTGGATTAGGTAGAGGAAAAAAGTCTTCCCCAAGAAGTTATAAGCACACAGGCCCACCCTCATATGGATTTGACATTCTATTGGCAGGATGGTCTGGGATCCTCCAAGCCAAGAAAAGAACACACAAAATGACCCCTGAAGCACTTGGCAAATGCAAACATAAAACGCTCTGAAGAGAGGCATTTCCAGCTCAGAATGTGCACGGTTTCCTCAGATTAAGCCCTGAACTTGAAATCTAGAATTACAAAACATACAAGGAAAGAATTTACTAAGAGAAAGCATCAGGAGACAAAAGAAACACTAGGATTATACACGCAAAAACTTCAAATAATAGATTTATCAGGTAGAGACTTTAAAGTAAATGTTTAAATGATTAATGACTCAAATCTCTATACCTGAGGTATTTTATACATGGTTGTATGAAGAAAAATGCTTATCAAAATTTAAAATTTATGGATAATTCATGGAAAATTCTCCATAAACTAGATATCTGGTTTAATGTCTAACATTAAATTAGACACAAATGAAGAGAGAAAAAGCTAATTAGATCATAGATGGGAGGAAATTATTCAGATTATAGCACAGAAGGAACAAAAATTTGTAAAAATGTGAAGGAGAAAGATTAATTCAACATACATCTAATAACATTTTCTAAAGAAGAGAATAGAGAGGCTATCAAAGAGATAATGGCTAATAATTTTTTAGAACTAATGAAACATAGGGGCACCTGGGTAGCTCAGTCATTTGAGCATCCAACTCTTTGTTTCCACTCAATTCATGATCTCACAGTTCATGAGATCAAGCCCTGCGTGGGGCTCCCTGCTGATAGCATGGAGCCTACTTGGGATTCTCTCTCCCCCTCTCACTGCCCCTCTCCCACTCATGCATTCACTGTCTCTCTTTCTCTCTCAAAATAGATAAACTTAAAAAAAAAAAACGACTAATGAAACATAAATCTTCACACTCAGGAAATATAAGGAACCTGAAACAGGATAAATGAAAAGAAATCCACACCTTGACATATCATAGTAAAATTGCTTGAAACCTGAGGAGAAGACTTAAAAAAGAGCAATAATAGGCTGACAGTGGGCTAATATCATCAAAGTGCTGATATGAATTAACTGACTAGAATTTTCTACCCAGCGAAATTATCATTTAAGTGTGACATAAAAACATTTTCAGTGCCTGGGAGAATTTACTATTAAAAGAACCTCGCTGAATGGACTTATAAAAGATGTTCCCTAATGAGAAGGAATGAAATGCAAGGAAAAAAAATGATATGGGGAGCATAAAAAAGCAAATCAATATTTCCACATCTTATTTCCTTTTTGTTTGTGAAGAGTATATAGGATTTACTATTATTATAAACATTTTTCTAAGGATTTATATACAATTGAGCTAAGTGTGACCTTGTATGAAAAAAATTTTTAAATACTTTTTAAAAAGGAAAAATTTTATTAATGATTAAAAAAATAACAGCTAAATAGTGATTATTTCCAAATTGTAGGTTCTCACTAGTTTGAGTGTCTCCTTGTCATTTTCAGTATTTTTTAGTTTTATAAATTAACATTTTATTAATTTAGTTAGGAATAAAATATTTTTAGATTAACATTTAACAATAATTCTTCTTTCATTTAGATCTAATCCTTTTTATGAACCTAAACCAGCTCTTCCTCCAAATAATTTGGTAAATCCAATTCAAGAACTGGAAACCGAAAGGAGAGTGAAAAGAAAAGCCCCAGCCCCACCAGCCCTCTCACCAAAGATAGGAGGAGTAAATGAAAACACAGTTATTTCTGCAGGAAGAGATCTCTCCACTTCTCCTAAGGTAGGAGTTTATTCTTAGTAAAACATATATTATGTTTAATCTTTTTCCTCCCAGAGTTTAATTCAAATTAAGAATAGTCATTGTTTGCTATTTTTGATGATATTTTAAAAGTACAAACCAAGTAAATCTGTTATACTGTAACACTGTGTATATGTTTGGGAGCCTCTAAGTTTACAGAACAGTATAATTGGATAGTTTGGATTAAGATTTTTTTAAATGCTGTTTTGAAATCAGAGGAAGAAAGACATTCTAATTATAGGAATGGTGCTTTAAAGAAAGAATACTCTAAAGCAGCTAAGTGTGAGGAATAGTTTGTATTGATACAGAAGAGGGAGTAGAAATCATCCTTTGAAAAATATACTGGAAAGATTAAGGCCCAGTGCACAGAAATGCCTTTTTTTTTTTTAAGTTTATTTGTTTTGAGAGAGAGAGACAGAGAGAGGGAGGGAGGGAGGGAGAGAGGGAGAGAGAAAGTGTGCACGAAAGTAGGGGAGGGACAGAGAGAGAAGGAGAGAGCATCCCAAGCCAAATCCTCGCATTGACAGTGTAGAACCTGATGTGGGTCTCCAACTCACAAAGCATAAGATCATGACCTGAGCTTGAAATCAAGAGTCAGATGCTTAACCGACTGAGCCACCCAGGCTCCTGAGACATGCTTTATTGAAGAATTTCAGTATTGCCATTTTGATTTATGTCAAGTTAAAATTTTGGCCTTATTGTCACTATCTTTAGAAGTTTTAATGCATAATTATTACATGGAAAGATAACACGTTTTTGGAACAAGTCTAGAGCTTTTAAATGATTTGAATTCAAATAGTGTGATATCTTGTATGTCTAAGGTAGAAATGTTGGATTTAGCAAGTTTTTTTAGGTAAGTAATTTTTGCCCATCAACTCATGGGTAATTTGTTATTGTTATCATATACATAATTTAATTCTCACAGGTAGGTTAGGGAAAAATAAGATGAACTTCAACTTAGTGGGGTAAAGTAAAGGTCACAGGTCCCCCAGCCAGTAGAAACAGGATTGGAACTGTCACTTTCATTAGTTGTGTGATATCTGGGCCATACTACACCTCAGGTGCCTACTGCTGTTTTTCTCAAGCACACTAAAGTTCAGTAGTTTCTCTTGGATATTTCAGTTCATTTTTTGTTTTTGTGTTAAATGGTAGAGTCCTGAAATAGTTTGCCTGTATTTTCATTGTTTTAGTGAGACAGTAAGTTCACTGAGGTTTTCACTCTGGTGTCTTAAAAGTCTATCTCCAGGTGTTTGTTTTTATATCAGGTATTTTTTAGCCCTGTAGCTTTAGAGGGAGAAACTCAGACTAGATTTCCATCTTCTAATTGGCTATGGAAGGTGGGAGTGGGGGCGCAACACTATCAACAAAAGCAGCAAATGGTAGAAATTAAAGCAAAGGAGATGGCCAATTCCTGTGCCCATGATACAAAAAAAAAAAAAAAAAAAAGACAGTAATTGGGGCACTAGTAAGAATCAAGAAGCTTTATAGGTCCTTTAACCATTCTAACTGTCAAGAATACCTAAACCTATCCCTTGTCTCCCCAAATCTCTACTCCACTGCCTACTCCCTGCCCCATTCTCTTCTATAGTTCATCAGGAGTTTGAAGCTAATTAAAATATTCTAATCTCTTTGTAGGGGAATGAAAAGGAACTTAACAGTGCCTCTTGGATGCATTTATCCATAAAACAACTTGAAAAATATGTATCATTATCTCCTTTGTATATATAAGAAACTGGACCTTAGTTAAGTAACTTGCCCAAAATGATAAAACTAGTAGTGACAGTGACTGGATTAAAATTCAGGTCCTTGGACTCTAAACCCATACTTTGCCCACAGTGCCATTCTACCTCTAGAGAGCTACCTCTGGTTCCCCAGTTCCAAGTTGGAACTCTAAATACATTGCTCCATAGAAACATTGCTACACCTGGTGATTAAGTTCTGTTGTAGTGATGTATAACATAGCTATTTTTTATATTATTATGAGGATAGTATTCCATTGAAGATCTGTCATGGAATAAAGGATATTTATAGGAAAGGCATCATGCTTCTTTTAGAAAGTGCCTCATTAAGCTCAGACACAGACAATAGAAATGCAGTCAGTCATATTATCCACAGTAGCACATTCTGCTGATCTGGGAGTTAGTTCATGTTTCTCACTTATGTGAAATACAACTGTGAAAAATTAATTTTAAAAAAGATTGCTGATATTAAATAAAAAAAAAGAAAAGAAAGTATATAACGATGTATAATATGATACCTATTGTATGCATAAAGTTTTCTTTAAAAAGCCTTATTCACACATACATTCAGAACACACATAGACATACACACTCATGTACACTGTGGAAGGAATTGTAAGTAATTTAATAGTGGGTACCTTTGAGGAGAAGGATATGCAAGACTGACGAAGGCATTTCTTTTTCTTTACCTGTCTGTATTATTTGAATTTTGAACCTTACATATGTTTTACTTCCATTTTTGTTTGTTATACTAATCAAAGCTACTGAGTAATGAGATCGTGGATATTTTTGTTGCCTTCTGTACAAGGTACAAGATGTACAAGGTATAAACTAAGAAAGTTTATCCTTCAGAATAGAGAAAATCACTCTTAGTTTTGACAAGTGGTATTAAACTATTTGATGGTGGCCTGGGGTTTCATCAGTTACCTCAGTGTTCTACACTGAAGACCAGGTATAGAGGCCTAGCAGCAGAAGGCTGGCTCCCCTATCCTGTTTCCACATCAGAAATCCATATTCTTTCATTTTATATGTTGGAATTCGTGTAAGATTTCATTAAAAAAAGAAAATGGACCATTGCCAAACCCCCCAAAATTGGAAACTACAAACTATCCAATTATGTATGAGATAAGGAAGATTAGAATCAATGGCATACTGACTGATAAAAAATGATAAATGGCAGCTGAGAAAACATAGTAGTATGGGGCTTTTTCATCATAGGAGTAGATATATGTGTGTATGTATCTACTAGTAGATATATATGTATAGATATATATCTTCTGGTAGTTCCTGAAGACTGTGCTATATTAAAGCTGAGTAAAATAATGGACCGTTTTGGCAACTTTCAGTCAACATGATCAAGTCTTACTGTGTATTATATACAATATTCTGTAGAGGGAAGTAAGAAATTATGTTTTACATCAAAACATTTCCATTAAAATTATTGAAGAGTTTTAATGCTTTTAAGTTATGCTCCATGCCAATTACTTTCCATACTTATAAATTGAAAGGAGATAATAGTTAAATTAAGCTTTTGGGAAAAGCCAAGTTCAAATTTTAGCCAAATAATAAAAGGATATTACACCACAATTTTGTGTAACAAAATGCCAGACTGTACTTAGTGGTAACTGACTGCAGACACTGAAGAGCATTCAGTGTCATAAAATGACAAGGGCTCAGCCAGATGATTAATTTCCCCACCTGGCACCTGAAACTACTTATTTTTCAGAAAATTTATGAAAAAACTAAGATCAGAATTTAAACAAACAAAGTGATAATAAGCATGTACTTATATTACAAATAAAATTCAAACTACCCTGAAGGCAGCTAAGGACCCTTCAGTGTCATAAATCTGTATAAACTCCACACTTCAGACCATTGATTTCTGTATTTATAAAATAATAAAATGTAACACTTTTAAAGACAACTTAGGAAAGAAGGCCAATGTGTAGAGAAGTTACATATATGACCGTTCAGTAAAATAAAATGATAAGTTAGGCTCAATGGTGCCTGACCATCATTTACTGTGAATGTAAGTTGATAAATATATAACTCTGAACTCCTAGATATAATTCATGCAACATAGTAAAAAGTGCAATTAAATTATGACAGTGAGTTTAGGAACATAAACAACATGGTTGCTAGACACATCTGCTAAAGTACATTATTAAACAGTATATACCCAGTTCCATAGAAATCAGAATATATGAATAGCCAACTATCAATGAATGACAATAAGGAATTAAAATAAACTTACATTTTTAAATTTTTTTTTTCAACGTTTATTTATTTTTGGGACAGAGAGAGACAGAGCATGAACGGGGAGGGGCAGAGAGAGAGGGAGACACAGAATCGGAAACAGGCTCCAGGCTCTGAGCCATCAGCCCAGAGCCCGACGCGGGGCTCGAACTCACGGACCGCGAGATTGTGACCTGGCTGAAGTCGAACGCTTAACCGACTGCGCCACCCAGGCGCCCCAAAATAAACTTACATTTTTATAATAGCATAGAGAAAAGCTCCACTGCACACTTGATGATGAAATGAGCTTGGTCAAGTGGAGAAGCGCTCCCTCAAAGATCCTGACTGATGAAGCTCCAGTGATTGACAGTGATACTACTATCCACTTATTCCATCTCTAAAAGTGAAAATCCTATCCATATCTCAAGCCCAGTTAAATAACTCAGGCCTCCACTTATATTGTTACCTTTTTTTAAAAAAGTTCTGGCAAAGTCCTAAGGTTTACACTTGGATGTTTTTGAACTTGAGTACAGATTGCAGTAACTATGGGAAGCCCAGGGTTAAACTAAAGTCAAAATTACACACAGCAGTTCCCTTGATTGGGACAAGCAGCAAATTCAGACCACAACGCCAACACCCTTTTCAGCTTTTGCACATAAAGATCTCCTAGAAAGTTCTTTATCCCCATTTCTATTCTGCAAAACTGCAGAACGTTGTCTACAAGCCATTCATTCTGAAAAACAGTAAGTCCACAATCAGACTATTAATTTCCTCATATGTACATTGAAAATGTCTCAAACTTTCCAAGAAAAATAATAAAAAGCACAAGGATCAGAATGTAATTGAATGCAATGATAAATACACACTTATTTTGTAAAATAAAATGCCAAACTACATTCAGTGACAATGGGGTGCAGGCAGTGGTTAAGTTATGTATAAAATTTTTACTTGCTGGAATACCTTACCAGAATAAGTTGTTCCTCAATAATACTGACTAAACGGGGCACT